TGAATCAGCTGACAGCTCAGTTGTCTGTGAAATAATGAAGCAATGAAACTAACCGTGGGCATGACATTTAGGTCATGACATTTAGGTCATGACGGTTAGGTTTAAATGCACTGGAGGCTAATGTGGCTCATGCTAACGCAGGTCATTGCCAGCTGAAACTGGCAGTGAGAGCAGAAAAAGTCCAGAAACCATGGTAATCTTCTCTAGGTTTACAGGTTATCGCTTAAGAAAATTTTATGCAAAATTATCAGAAAGGTAAATATGTACAGGGCTGCTGCTGAGCACATCTGCATGGAGCGGATCTTTGTTTACACTGTTTGGTATGCAGTGGATCCATGTTTGTTTTAAAAAAGAGTTTATTTTAGTGTAGAGTGATCCTCTATGTGTCCTTCAGTAATGACTTTTTATTTGCATTATCAAAAAAATTGACAGACAAATGGAAGCAAAGATGAGCACTTATATTTAAATAAAATAAAATGGCTGCCTGGCTGAAGCTTGATTTCATAAAGAATATCAACATGTATGCTAAGTGTTATGTTGTTTACTGTTTTGCTGAACTGCACAAGGGATACTTCCAAACTATATATATATATTGAAACAATGGCTGAATTGTCTTTTAATTATTGGTTTTCCCCACACTAAAGAAGTTAAAATATTGTCATAGAAATTAACCGTATTGTTTTGCTTTTATCTACAAAGAACCCTGTGCCTCCACATATTCAGTACTTTTCTTCGTACAGATTTCTAGTATGGTTGCAACCTTTTCTGTAGTTCTCCACATGTTTGTACCCATGGCCTAAAACCATCACTTATTGGGAATATTAATTGTTCTAATGACAAATTTCAGTGTAGAAATACTGAAATCTGATGTTGTGTCAATCTGGGACTTTCTCTTTCATCTGTTAATCAGACTCTCCACCACACAGTGTGATAAAAAATGTGGTGGTTTCGAGATGATAAATATTCAGACTTGGTTTAGCTTGACGGTAACCAGGCTACTGTAAGAGAGACGGCTGATAGTACAGTGAGCTATTTATGCTTATTAGTTTAGCATTCCTTCCCTTCAGCGAAATTTCTCTAGAAAAATCACATTGGAGCATCGGCCACAGACTGCTGCTGTAATTTATACTCACTCTTGTCAGTTGCCTTAAGTAATCCCTTAAGCTAGCTTTTATTTATTTATTTTTATCTCTCCAGAGTAAGACGCACACAGCAGACAAAGGCCGCAGGTTCTTGTAAAACGTAAAAATGTAATCTCTGAATTGTGTGCGTTTTGACTTTAAGGAAAAGTGATGAACTGCTCTGTTGATGATCAAGTCATTGTGCATACTTCTTCACCTGCTTGTGTGCTTGAGGGATTTATTGTTTTATTGACAAAGTCTGTGATGTGATAAAATTTCTCCAGCCTTGGAAAAGAGCAAAGAAGGTAGTTTCTCAGCAAACTAAGCACTTCTTTTTTTTGCATAGCCTGCTTCATTTTTTTTTTCTTGAAAAATTACTTTTTCATTTTTCTTTTTGCCTAATAAACACACGAAACAAAGCAAGTTTTGGCAGTCTAAACATATTAGGAGAATTGCACACATGCTTGCTGTGACTGCACTGATCACTCGCGGTTTTAATAATGACTTATCAAGTGAGTCACCGCATCTCAGTTCTCACTGCTTAACAATGTTTGTATTAAATTCACTTTGCTGTGTGCGCACTGTCTGATGCACTAACTCATGCTACTTCCATCTCATCCTCACCGACACAAAGCGGCTGGATTGCCACAGTGATGTTTTTCAGCCAAAATGTGGGCTCCGCTATAGTGATGCTTATCACAACTCTGCTCTTCACTGTGGTGGCCGCACTAATGGCCCTGGTTCTCATTAAGGTGAGTGAACAACAAGCTGGAAACTATTTTACCCCTCAGCGTAGTTTTTGAGTTTATCGACAGAAGTCAAAAATACGGGCGAATCTCATTCAATTAGGAAAATCACTGAAAAGTAGATGTATTTTTGTAATTTTGCAAAAATTTGTTTTGCTTCCTTTACATATTTATTCTGTTTTGGATTTTTGGGGGTTTCAGCTCATCAATCAGATTCTAGTATTTGATAAAGATGAGCTGAGAAGAACATGCAGACTGGTCCAAAAGCACCACCTCATAGATGAAAGTAATCTTTATTTTAGAAATCAATTCCAGCTGTCCTCATCAAAAGGACCAGAAATAAATATCTGAAACAAATCACTTTTGGTTTGTATTACTGCAGCACATCAACTTTTCAGTGTTACTCTAATTAATTGAGACGTCCCTGTTCGCCAAAGTCCCAATTTGTCCCCTGTTTTCGTGTCCCAGGTGCACAGGCTGTACCGCGGCGGCGGCGGCAGCATGCAGCGCGCTCAGGAGGAGTGGAGCACCGGGTTGTGGAAGAGCGCCCCGGTGAGGGAAGCAGCGTTCGACGCCGTCGCTCAGACAGCCCAGGGCCCGACTTTGCCCGAGTACCCCACCGCGGTGCCCAGTTACCCTGACAACAGCCACTGGTGATGGCTGAGGTTCGCCACTAGGGGGTGACAGACGATTGATAAGTTTCACAATGCTGACAAAAGCACTTGAAAACACAGCAGCACGTCACTCTCAAAGTACAGATTACACAGTTATTTTAAATGTCAGCAAAATAATAGCTATGAAAGTCTCTCTTTTTTTCTTTTTTTTTTTTTGTAATTTGAAAGTGGGTTGTTTTTTTTTTTCATCAACCTGAAACTGTTTGGATGGTTGCCTTCAAAATGTGCCATTCTGTTTCTACTTTGTTTACAAAACGTTAATAAGAAAAAAACAAATATAGTCTTAGATTTAAATTGAATATTTTCTTTCAAAGGTTTAATGGATTGCAGACATGCAGAAACAAAATGAGTGGTCACTTTAAAGCTAAGTGAAGAAAGTGTGCCTTATGGATCTGTGTAATGTTAGGATTTTTACGAAGCTGCATGCTCCATAACATAGTATGGGTGAAAGTGGGGTTTTTGTTTCTTTTTATTTTCATAATTTGATAAGTTTGGTTTGTTCGTGATGCTTCCATGCTTGGCTTACTGTTGCAGATTTTGCATGTTTAAAAGTCTCCCGCCTGACTTGCGCCCGCCTTAACAATGGCTGCATTTTGTTTTTTGTTGAACTAATCTTATGCTTCAGTGAAGCAGCTTTTCTGTTTGATTTCTTACTGAGCACTGACATGCCAAAACACTTAACTCCTCCTCTTTTACTTTTTGAAAAGTCACACTCTAAGCAGCTGAGTTTTGTTTGCTTTCAGTGAATGAAAGTATCTTATGTCCTGCTGCCATCATTGTCATTTCTTTCATTGTCACCAGATACTTATTTTGTGTTTAATCACAACAGGCTTGCATGTAGCCACTAAAGCATTCATCTGAACTGAGCTCATATCTTGATACCAATATCCAGACTAACTGAAAAGTGCATGGATCAATGGATTAATTGCAGGCTAATTTTGAGTTGGACTCGGCTTTTGTCTTTCCAACGCACTCTGCTTTTTATGTATGGAATTAAAATCTAATCTTGCGCCTGTCAAAGCCTGCCTGAAGTCCACATCTCAGCTCAGAGGTGAAAACGGTGCCTCCATTGTAGACTTGACATTTTATTTACTTTTTCTTCTCACTAAAGTGTCCTTTGAGGACAACTGCCAAGTATAACGTCTTAAATTTTCTGTATTAGGTTTCAGAAAATGAATCGGAACGTGTGAGAGTATTCTATACGTGTCGCAAAATTTCAATAAATGACTTTATTCACGCAGTGATCCTGGCTTATTCCACCAGATTGGACTGATAAACTGCAATTCATATCACAGTTTGCTTTCACCCTGAAAATGCTTCTGGCAATGCTTCTTCCATGAAGCATTGCCAGAAGCATTTTCAGGGTGAAAGCAAACTGTGATATGAATTGCAGCAGAAGAATGCACCACTTGTGTGTTTTGCCACATTGTGTCATATATTTTGTTTTCTGTACTTTGCTAAACCCAAATGTCAGAGTATTCTGTTGGGATTCAAATCAAAGCATTATTTTGAAGCAGCAGAAAATTGACACTTGGTTTTCTGGTCTATCTGAGTTAATGAGTTGCTAAGAAATAGGCTCAATTAATTAATGCTTGTTTGTTTTGAAGGGGTCTAGTCAAAGTCCAAATGTATATGCACTAGAGAATTTGTGGCAAAATTTATAAACTGTTGTCCATGGATGATTTCCAGTCAATCTGAATTAGTTTTTGAGAAATTACGTACAGAAGAGTGAGTAAATATTTATAGATATGTAAGGCTGGCAGAGACTTAACGCCCCAAAAATCACAGGTGTAGTTGCAACACAATGTTGACTTAAGGCAGATTTAATTATTTTTATTTTTTTCAAAATCATGCCTAATTTTCTGCCTTTTGACTATGTATTACTTTGTGTTGGTGTGTCATAAATAGTAAATATGCTACTATGACTTTTGAATTTGTAACATGAGAAAAGAATTTGAAGAGTGTTCCAAAATGTCCCATTCTTGCATTTCTAACTTTAAAAAGACCTGGCATCTGGATGCTTTAGTGAGTCTGAAACTTGGAACAAATCCAGGCTTCATGGACTGTAAACATTACTGATAAGTCAGTATGAGCCAGTCTTTCTAAGCCTTGTGGCACCAGCTGTAATTGGCTGACAGAGTATTGAAATAATGCATGTATTCAACAGCAGCAATCTTTTTTTTTTCTTAATTGCCCAGAAGCAATTTTGATCCCTAATGATGTACATGACAACTTCTTTATACCACGCTGGTAAATATTTAATGAGACTCTCGACGCATCGCTTTTATATCAACACTTGCATGAGATGAAACAAGATGGATTCAAGTAGGTGAGTGGAAGAAAGAAAAAAAGGATTTTTGTCACTGTATAACCTCAGAACAGTGAGATTTATGCTCTTCTATTCTCAAGTCTTTGTGAATCACAATCTCCCCAATAAGAGAAATCTCAAAGGTCCCAACTGTAAGAAAAAGGAAATCAAAACATTTATTTCCGTATTCATTTTTACAAGGCAGTGTTTCCATTACTCCCCATTACCCTTATTTTTTTATTTTATACATATGCTGAACCGCACAATTGATATGCCTGCAGAAATTGACACCCACACCTCTACATTCCTGCAACAGCGTTGTCTTTTTCAGATTAACACAAATGTACAATTTGAAGTAAAGATGTGTGAACCCCACCGAAAGGAACAAGGAACAAGCCTTCCTACTGGAAGGGAATGTAATGACCAAAACAAAATGGTGAATTTTGTTAAGAAGTAGTTAATTACATATGGCTTTTTTTTTACTGAATGAGTGATGAAAAAGTAGAGGCAGGAAGATTAATTCAACCATAGAGCAATGAAAAAATTACCCCTGTTGATTTTATACAGCTGGATCCATGAAATGAATTGGGCTTGGAGATCGGTCACCAAGATGTTCATTTCAAAGATTAGAGAGGATAAAAATAGAAAATGGAAATTTCCTCCAATAAATAGTCACAAAAATAAAAATAACAAGCTTGACTGTACAGAAATATTACACAGATTGTATTCACAGATTGGGATTGTACAAAAATATGACTGTAAAAAACATTTCTGGAGTGGGTATTTATCAAGATAAATGTCTTTTTAGTGATTATCAGCTGCCTGAAAAGACATTGGAAATCACCCAGGACAGAAACAGGAACCCATTTACCACCTAAAGGCATATCTCAATAAACTGGAAGATCTTTGGCAAGTTAATCTATTTCAGTAGTTCGGTTCAGAAAGGGACAGTATGCATGTACAATTACCTATTTTGTAATTTAGGGATAATAAGACATTTGTAATAGTAATAACTGATGAAAAAAATATTTTAAGATCATGCTGTGGCCTCTACAAGCATGGGAGATGCTGCTGATTTGACATTTATTCAGGAGTCAGTCATTGATTGAAGGTAAGCCACTAAAAGCCAGTGTTCAGAAAACTGTTTTCAAGCATATTAATGGAAAATTGAGTGGAAGGAAAAAGTGTTGTAGGAAACGCAACGGGGATCGTCACAGCCTGGGAACAATTGTGCAAAGCCATTATATTATAGTTCCTGACTCATGCCCAATGATAACTGGAGACAGGGCCCAGTACCCCAACCATTAGACAATTGATGGATAATAAATAATAAAAACCTTATTTTTATTATATTATCAAAACTGACTAAAACAAACACTACTCTGTGTAGTATGACTCTACACAGAGTTGAACTGAATTACTGAAATAAATGAGCTTCTTGTTTGAATTTCAATTTATTGAGACGTACCTGAACAACATATTGCAAGTTTGTTATTATCGCACCGATGCAGAACTAGGACGGAAGCGCGAGCCTCAGCAGAGTCAAATCTCCGACTCGTCATGGATGTAACCCAGACCGTTCAGATTTGAAATGTTGGCCAGGGGTGGGAAGTGGTACTCCCCGTTCTTTTTGAAGTCCACAGTGGTGTGATTGTTGTTGGCGGTGCAGGGTCTGGCCTCCGCCCCCAGGAGCTTAATCTCAGAGTTTCTGTTCTGATTGTGCGTGTAGTCCAACGACGACGGCCGCTTCCCCTCGCCGCCTTTAGACCGCTGCGCCAACCCGAAGCACGTCCAGCGCCCTCGCTTCCAGAACCACAATATGACGACGACGAGAGAGAGGCAGAGCAGCGACAGCAGAGCCACAGCCACCTCCAGGCGACTCATTCTCCCAGAGTCGCTTTGATTCTCAGGCGTCAGATGGTCCTCGCTCTCCAGGTCCGGCTGTGACCCAGTTGCAGCCGTTTTCAGAGTTTGAATGAAGTATTTTGTGGCTGCTATGCCGGGAGTGGGGCTGACTGGCTCAGAGGAGATTTGTAAATGATAAACGGCCACAGTCCTGTTGTACATCCTGCTGTTGATCTGCTCTACAGAGTCACAGAAATATAAGCCTGCGTCCGACGCGGTCGTGTTCAGGATGAGGAGGCCGTCGCTGTAGATGTAGTATTTGTGTGTAGATAAAACAGGGAGGTCAGAGAACCTCCAGTGGACCTCCGCCAGGTTGGAGTGACGCTGGCAAGGCAGCTGGATGTTGTTCCCTGGAATTAGAGCAACGTCCACAGCTGGCACTGGATCTGTAAACGTCACACACAACAGCAGAAGGTTAACCCAGCCCCTCAAACACTCATAAAACTGGCAGGAGTCATGATGGATGCACCTGGTGGGGGACACTGTGACACGTTGCCCTCCTTCAGACTCTGGACTGCAGCTTCGGGAGACGCAGACAGACCGGAGACAGAGGAGCACCGCTCAGCGGACGAGTCCCAGGCACAGTAAGGATCCCTGGACAGGATGCAGTCCTCGCAAGACTGGTACCGGCTGCAGTTACTGACCGGCATCTGGACGACACCAGATTCAGAACCAGCGTAGAGTTGACCCTTTGGAAACAGAAATATATGAAATATTTAGCCACGATAACAAATTTTGCTGGAAGGTAAATTGTGCCAGATATTACGGCGATGACCAATAATATTGTTGTTTTGAGATCGTTTTCAGGTGATATATTGACAATGGAATAATAATGCAAGACTAATAAACTTTCATTTCATAACAATCAACCCTGGAACTGGAAGATATTTTAAATATTCAACAACAACAAAAACAAAACCACAAATCCAACAAAAACAAAACCACACACACACACACAAAACCATACACAAAATGGACAATAAAGCTTCTGTAAACAAACCTACCCTTCAAAAAACATTAATGATCAGAATAGAAATGATCAAACTCATTTTAGTTCATCATGCAATTAATTGCTTATTGCGGCAGGTTTACATGCGCCGTTGTTACCTTGCTTGATGAGAGGCGTAAGACCTTGATGGCCTCTGGGTTTTCATAGACCTGAATCTGCTCGATGATGAACATCTCTCCGTCAAAGTTGACGGCCTTCTGAATGTAGCCGTTTTCTGCCACGAAGACAAATCAGGAGCATTTAATATGTGGATATAAAAATACATGTGTTTTGCCACAGCTTCTCAGCTGGACTGGACTTTGACAGGGCCATTCTGACATGTGAAAACTACTTCATGTTATTCCTGGCTGCATGTTTTGTGTCGTTGTTTTCCCAGTCTAACGTTTTCTGCAGTCGTCTTCCAGAATTGTCCGAAACTTCGCTTCATCCATCTTCCCATCAACACTGTTTTGAAAACAAGTCTTTGTCTTTTCACCATAGAACAAAATGTTTGTAGTGTTTCCTGTATGAAATCTTATATATTTGAAAAAGACCTTATTGCTCTCTTTCAACCTCAACTTTATTCTTGCTGTTCTTCCATAAAGGCCAGATTTATGAATCGTTTCTGTCACCAGAGTTGTGAATCTCTGCAGCTCCTCCAGAGTTACCGCATTATGCCTTTTAAATCTGTTTGTTTTTTTTTGATGCACCACCCAAAAAAATACACAGAAACTTGATAAACTTCTGTGAGTTTATCAAGTTTCTCAAAGCAACGGTGAAGGCACACACCGCACGTTCTATACGCTGGTGTAGAACAGAAAGACTTCCATGTTTGTGGTTGTAAAAAAGACGAGATATTATGTAAGGCTGAATTGTTTTACCAGTTCCGATAAACATGACGTTGTAAGTGTCCCCGTCCAGAGCCAGCACGCTGTCCACCACGATTCGGGTCAGTAAGGCTCCCCTCTTGAGCAGCAGCGGGCCCCCAGTCAGCGGACGGACAGCCTCGTCCATCAGGGGCCGGTCTCTGATGAACTGGAGGGTTTTATCCGGTAAGTCCAGGGAGCGATTCATCCCCTTTTTACGATCCATATTGTTGATGCACTGAAAACAGCAGCGAATGAAAAAAGTTTTTTTTTTTTTTTTTTTTACCCCAAACTTGATTTGTGAGTTGATCCGTTCACCTACCGCTCCCGGTCTGGGCTCCGGCACCTCCCCCGAGTACATCACCCATTTCACATGGGACGTCTCCACGGCAACAGATGTCTTAAACTTTCCCTCATTGAAAATTTCTCGAATCGAAGCAACGGTGAAGGCACACACCGCAGAGATCTGAGACAAGCTCCTGAAACACACGGCGGAGAATTATGCAGGGTAAACACGAGCAAATTGTCTCCAGTTCCCCCGACGCACACTCCATAATTTATAGATTGTCATTCGGCTTCATGCTTTTGATTCTTCCTCCAGTCTGACAGATCAACAGCCTCCTGGCATTAACTAAATTCAACAGTAAGGCGTAAAAGCGCGTGGCTCCGGCAGCAAACACTCACGACTGAGGTGTGAAGACGGCGTAGAAGACGCTCTTCCTCCAGTCCTTGTGCCTTAGCAGGAAGACGTCCTGGACAATGGGAGGCAAGCTGGGTTCAGGGAAGGAACAATCCAGACGGGCTTTCAGGAACGAGGTCCATTTCCTCTGCAGCGTCCGCTGGCCGCCCATATCTCCCTAAACCAAGAGACAACAACAAGCTGGCCTGTTTAACCCCGACCCTGGCTCGGACGCCGCTTCCAGCGCTCTTATGCAACGCTGCCTTGCCATGGTACCTTGCAGACGCGGGCCACTCTGGACACCGCTACTTTTCTGTAGAAGTCGTACTCCATGGCGTTCTCGCTGAAGAACAAGTACACCTTGTCGTCGTCCCCATCGGGACTGCCGACGCTCTCCTCCAAGAAGTCCATGTAGACAAAGTTGGGCTCTAAAATCAAACGATGACTAATAAAAACCCAGCAGCACGAATGAAAACACCCAGATGCATATTTGAAAGATGTTTTTATTGGTTTACTTAGCGACTTAATAACTCACCACTGAGCCAGGAGCTCTTAAACTCGGTGCGAAGAGCCAAGTTGGAGCTGCGCAGAAACACAGGCTCAGAGCCCAGAAAGTTGATAGATGTAGCGGAGTACAGCTCAGTTCCTGTTGGACAGGAACAATAGAGGAGTAAGCATTCCTGGAAGTCCTCCGCTCTCATCAAAACAAAACAATGAAGCATTAATATACCCGCTAATGAACAGGGCGAACTTTGCATGTTGACATGTTGGCATGCACTGTATGCAGAGTGAGGAGGCTCACGGATGCTGTGCGAAACATTTCAGACCTGTGTTGACACTCACCGACCATGAGGGAGGAGTATCTCTGAAAGGGATCAAAAGGACACTTCCCTTTTCCCTCCTCCTGCTTTCCCTTCAGGGTCAGCTGGCCATTCGCAAACGTCTGTCGGAAACAAAGAGGCGCAGGGCAGGACAGAAACAGGACAAAGATGGAAAACGTTTTATTCAGAGCCGTGGTTAAAATAAGAGCTCCCTGGTTGCATAACTGGAATAAGCTAAATATATTTAGCCACAATTATTGGCACCCTGGTAAGGATTTTTTTTTTAAACTTTCAAAATAAATCCATTTAATCTGTTGCAGCAGGATAAACTCACTCTGAAGAAGAAGAAAAAAAAACTATTTAATTTGAGTACAATTATTCAGGGGGAAATTTAATCCCAAGACATAATTGTCTTATACCACCTCAGCAGTGGCACAATTATTGGGAACCTGTAGAAATCCCTTTGAAATAAAATGTAATTGCATTTTTTTTTTTCATTTATACTTTCTTAAGTTAATCAGAGCTTCTTTGAACTTCTATTTAGCATTTCATTACTCCCCGTCTCTTTGGGGCATGAATGTGACGTGACTCAAACAGTCTGCTACTACGTTTATATTTATTTTGTCACCACACAGTGAGGAGGAGAAATTTCCAAAGCTTGTCCCTGGAGAACCATTGGACTAGACATTTAAGATGGACGCCATGGGAAAAAGCCTCTTCTAAGCATAAATGTACTTAACTGTGTCACAGTTTACACAACCCTGCTCGGACTTTTACCTGTACATATAAAAACCCTCGGTTAGATGGACTAAGACTGACATTTTTAGGAAACAAACGCTCCTGGTCTCAACCTCATATCATTCGTGCGGTAGATAAACTGTGATGCTGCGGGCCTGCTGTGCACAAGCTCTTTAAAATGTCCCATTGTCTTAAAGTGTATGTAAAAATCTGATGGGATGTGCAAGGAAGCACAAAATGGGTCTTTCACTGTGACATTGGTCCAACAGACGGAGCCAAAACACAACGGAAATATAAACAACCAGGCTTCTTCTATCCGAATCTAAACTTTACAGAAAGCCCGAGGGGTGAGCTAAAGAAAAGAGAGCATTATGGACAAAGATCACTCTCTCTGAATGCTCACATGTCAGAAAATGTTATAGGACTAAAAAGGTTGAAAATAATGTCCCCACTTTCCAAGTTTGTCAATGAAATATTAATTTATTTGTATTTTTGATTATGTGCACCTTTACCAGGGGCACCAATAAATGTGGACAGCCAGTGATGTTGAATATTTACGTGCACACTTCAGTTTTATGCACACTTCAGTTTTAACCGAACAACTTTAGATCACAATGAATGAAGATTTTCCCCCTAAAGCCTGCTACTGTTAGCTGCATCTTCAGGCTAATGGCCCTGAATCTCTGTAAGATGTTAGCAGTCACTGAGTTTTATCACTTTTTTTTCTTTTTCTTACCATTTCAACCCAAGAAAATGTGAAGAAATCAATAATTACAGGGGATATGTATCGTCTTAAATAGTAGTTTTAAAATGTGTTATTAAGCCAACATCACTTTAAATATGTAACGTTGTGTTTTTCGAGCGTGTTCTTATGTTCACGTATCGTCTCTCATCTTCTCCCTTGTCCTTCACCTTCATTATAAAGGAGGTTTATATTCTCTAAAGTAGCTTAACTTCAAAGTCAAACAGCATAAATTATTTTTAAATCAAAGCACAAAACAGATGATATTGATCTGGGTTTTTTTTGGGGGGGGTTAATGATGCCTGTGTGTCAGACTGTATCTACTTTTAAAACCAGTTCAGACAGCATCCCCATGTGAATGTGAATGTGCTGCCAAAATGCATTAAACAAGACATAAATCAAAATAATGGGCAGAACAAAGAAACGTGTTGTTTCCTCCCCATTTCGCATCGGAAAGAGGAAGAGCTTCCTAGTAACAAACATGTCGGTGTGAAAACGAGGCTTCGGCATAATAGCCTCTTTGTCCGTTGATTCTTACGATTCAGCCCCCAAAACAGAAACCGTGTCTAACAAGAGTTAGCCAGGATGAAAACATGATCATGCTGACAAGTGTTTCTACATCCATCAAATCCCTGATCAATTCTTTTCTTAGTTTCACTCAAATGCTGCTAAAAATAGAGTGTGTGAGTGACTGCAGTCGTACCGAGGCACTGGCTCTTATCTCATTAAAATAAGCATGTAGTCATTTATAGGCAGCGCTACTTACATAACGCTGCTGCTGTTAATATTTGCTGTCTCCAATTTGACTGGCATTTGCCAACAGCTTCAGTGTTCATCTTTTTAAAGCAATTCCTTCAGAGTTGGTTAAAAAGAAAGAGCTGAGCATTTTTCAGAAATGCTTTTAGCACCTTTACTTGCAACATTGTTCACATGTGAACTTTTCCCACATTTTGTTGCAACAAACGTCAATGCATACAATAGAACTGGCTACCACTTCTAACTTTTTGTTTCTGGAGTCAAACATTTTGCCAGTTGTTTTTTGCAATAGCGCTTAGGGGCCCAATCTATCCTCCCCATCAGGTCTAATTGGTTTAATAATCCTGCTTCGGAAAGTTTTTTTGTTTTTTTTAACAATTTTCTTCCCCCTTTATTGACATTTACCAAGCAGAAACTGGCAGAGAAAAGAGGGTTTCTCAAGGTTGGGGTCTCGCCATTGAGATACCTCACAGAAAGCATTTTGAATGTTTACCTAAAAGTTCATTTATTATATAAAATTCCAATGAAATACAGATTGAAGTTGTAACTTGGCAAAATGTGAAACATCCAAAGTCTCTAAATAAATACTTTTGAAAAGAACAGTGCACTCACAGAATGAACTAAGGGACTCACCACAGGAAGTCAGAAACAATAGAAATGTGGACTAATAAAAGCAGGACATGAAATTTATTGCTTCAGGGGCAGTTTTGCAAGAAAAAAATATTTTTCAGAGTTTTTTTTCTCTTCAAAACTTTATGCAACTTGAACCGTTCTCTATATGGGGCAGATATTTTTAAATGATTAACATCAAAGATCTCAGGGCCTAGTTTTACACTCCTATAGATCTAATGCATTCAATAAAGCACACTTACCATATAATCGCACACTGGAGAAAAGGCGTTTGTGCCGCAAACGTACAGTGTGGTGTCGTTCACTCTGTGCAGCGTTCGTATGTAGTTGCGGCATTCCACCTGCAACAAAACCCATCAGAGGGAACGCCAAGGTCGGCGTTTGTTAGCTCAGCCCTCAAATCACAAACATGCCAAACATGTACAGTTGCATTTCATGCTGCTCAGAGCCGAGCTGCTGACGGGCGAAAGGTCAAGGATGCGAATACGGATGGATTCCCCCTGCGTCTTTATTTGGACGTTCAGCTCAAAGCTAAAAGCACAGGACTTCAAAGGGAGTTCGACATAAGGACTTGAAAAGGAAGAGAAAAAACTAAACTCTCATATAAATGATTAACAGAAAGTGCCCGAGGCAGCAGGCGGTTTTCAGGCAGCGGCCGTCCTTTAGGTTGCATCCTCGCTCCACAATTAGACGTCAGAGGTGCAGCACTAACCTCTGCGTGTTTTCCCTTGTATGTGCACTCCCTCTGCTTCTCCTCGGTGACTCGCCAATACACCTGCATCAACACAGAGGGGATCCTGTCAAAGCATGCGGTAGTTGTCTTGCAGCCCTGCAGCAATTTTCTACTTAAAACCTTTTTTTTGTCTTTAACAACAAGGGCCGTCATTGCGCATGTCCCACTTTCGCTCAGAATGCTGATCGAACCACACCAGCGGTACGCTTGAATTTGCTGAAACTAAGCAAAAGTCTACAGCTTTGTTGACTTCAGTGGAGCTCAAAGTGATGCCAGTTTGCATCATCATCAAGCTTTCTTGCTATTTTTTCTTCTTTCTTTTTTAGCATGCACAAAATCCCAAACAACAATACAAACTGTCTTAAAAAGCAAAATATTACATAAAACAGATTCAGAACTTCATTTTATTCTATTTTCTTAAAAGTCTAGATGTTTTTTGTTTTTTTTACATATACTATAGTTTTTTCATGTAGTTTTATTTTCAGCACCACACTTTGCTCTGAACAGGTAACTGGCTGATTCAAATCAGCTGCAGTTTGTGATCCTGTCTCATGTTTCCAAAACATGCATTAGGCAGGAATGTCAAAGGAATCAGTGGAACGTCAAATCCTGTCAGTTTTTTTGCAGTGATGTCTTGTTCATTCGTTTTCTCATATTTAATGATTATTTCACAATCTTGGGCTAAAAGTTTAATGTTCAATTAGCAGCTAATGAACTCATGACGAGGAGGTCAGGGCACCATCAGTCCAAGTTTACCTCACTGTTGAGGTAGTGAATCTTCATCCAGGCAGACAGAGTGTCTGCATAGTGTATAATGACACTGAGAAACATTAATATTTAGTCAATGCTGCAACGTTTAAGTGGCAACTACATAAATTACAGAGCTGGTGTTCAAATTGTACTCTCTCTAGTTATCAGACGGATTGGAAGGTAATGTTAGGACATTTACCTGAATCAACACGAGACAAACATGCAACACCTGCGATGTAGGTGTCAGAGGTCATAAAACATTCAGGGATTAAGAGGAAACAAAACACAATAAAGACTAAATCTTATGACAACAGCAGCACGTCATTTGTAATGTTTTTATTAATTCAGTAACCTGAGTCGATGGGAAAGTCTTTAGGTCAATTCTCCCATTGTTTTCTTCCACACCACCATAGACTGACCTACTTCTAAGGGGTCAAAGTCTCCAAAAAAAAAAAAGAAAAAAGCTGCAAACTGCTTCAAGCAACCAGGCAAGTCCAGCCTTGAGTAGCTCACTAAATATTTGATCTTCTGCTCTAATCACTGCAGTAAAATGCCATAAAATTCAACAAAGGGCTGACTTTCTTGCTGCAGCATTTCACCAAGCCATAAAAAGAGCGAGATAGTGGGAAATGCAGTTAATATGTAAACTGCTCTGCAGACATTTCTTTACTCCAGACATTACAACTCTGCACAGGTCCTCACCGCGGCCTTTTGGTCTGAGATGTTGTTGATATCCAGAGCGTAGATGGCCTCTCTCGCCCCCAGCAGCACCACACCCAGGTCGTCTCTGATCAGCATAGTTGAGTAATTGAAGACCCCGTCTTCTCTAAATAGATTCAGGTGATCTGGGCAGAGAAAAACTTTGCATTGCTTCACAATAAAAAGAAAAAAAAGAGAATAAAAAATGCTCTCACAGCAAAAAATGCAAATCTGTTGAGAAATTAATAAACTTGTCACTTGCTGCAGAAAAGAGAAGAACATAAAGCAGCTAAAACCTTCCATGGGATCGTACATCACACGTAAAATATTCAAATGGATGCAGCGAATCAAACTGCTCCAAGTTCCCGTGTTTAATGGAGAGCTGGTGACTTACTCTGGTAGTTGACGGTCTTCCGTGGGACGCAGTACTGAGCGCTGAGCAGACTGAAATAATGCTGGAGCATCAACCCACAGACGATGCTCAGAGTTAAGAGAAGAGACATGGCTCGGGGTCCGGGGTCAGTCGACGCGCAGAGGAGCCGCAGCGTCCAGCTCTGACGCCCAAAAATCACAGGTAGCGCATGGTTGAAAAAACCCGAGTCTGGATGGATCCTGTCAGCAGCTGATTTAGATGTGTGACCAGGACTCGGGCCTGAATTGGTTCAGTTAGAAGTTGATGGGTATCTATGTCGGCGTCAGCCTCCAGCGCAGAGCTAATGAGCTGCTGGTGTCCTCTCTGGAAGGAGGAGCAGGAGCCATGCTGCCCGGCTAGTGCTGGGGGATGCCGGAGGACTTCATTTTCAGGGTTCTGCCAAAGACACAAGAAGATCTATGAACAATCAAAGGGGGTGAGAGAAAGAGAGTTTCTCACTGAATTTTAAAAGAAATTCTTAGAAATATTCCCTCAGAAAGTGAAAAAGGCAGCAGCTTTGCCTCCTACACCTCCGCCTCATGTCTCTTCACTTTTTCTGCTGTGATGTGCTTTTGAATGTTGGTGGATAATCACAACGCAGGAAGAATAACCAGGGTGAAACAAGGAAGCTGATTTCCTGTCCTCGACAAAGCTTGAACCCAAAAAACGAATGGACGTGCCGTGCCAGTATTTTTACCCTTTAAACCACAAATCCGTCTGCATTTTATTAGGATTTATGTGATACAGCAACAGAAAGAACAATTCTACATGATTTTAAATATTGTTTTTTCACAAATAAAAATGTGGAAAGTGTGGCTGACTCAGTGCTTTGTAAAAGCGCCCTGCTCTGCGTTGCAGCAACAAGCCTCTCCAGATGAGTCTCCACCACATTTAGAGACGAGATGTTTGCCAGTTCTGTACAAAACAGCTCAAGCTCAGTCAAATTAGGAAGTGAACAAGAATTTGTTTATTGACCAAACAGTGAAAAATAGTGAAAATAATCCCAACATAATGAACGGTTTTGGTTTTAGCATCATTTATCTGAATTTATCGTGAGAACAACACATCAAAACCTTAAGAAATTTACCATATAAATGACAATAAATGCCCACTTGTCGTTGCTCTGTCACTCAAAACTCTCAATAAAACACTGAAGTTTGTAGTTTTCTCCTGGCCAAAAGGAGAAAAGCTCGAGCTCTTTTTGCAAAGCACCACATGAGCAGATGAAAATCCAGCCTGACTTCAGGACCCTCTCAAAGGAGACGGATTAAACCCAGAAAGACACAAAGAAATGACCGAAACTGGAGCGGAAAATGACAGCAGGCTCAGAAGATGAAAAAAGCGCCGTAAGAAAAGGACGACGTCCTGGAAAAGCATGTCTCTCTCGCCGAATTTATCAGAACCTCGAACTGAGCGAACTGAGACAAATGTAACTTTGTTAAGAGTCTGGCAGCGCGTACAGCTGTAGCTGAAAGTCAGCCTCACAAAGGAAGCCCATGTCAAGTGAAAATCTGCAGAAACTCTGCCCTCCTACCCCACCACCAACACCAGCTCTCACAGCATCTTCCTGTCCTCCCCCCCTCCCTGATAAGAAGCAGCTTCCTCTGGGCTCTGCGGGGTTTGAGATGCAGAGAGAGGAGAGAAGAGAGATGGTGGGTTTGGGGTTAGAGGGGGGGGCTCAGCTTAGGTTGGGCCATGATGCATGCAGATCATGGCCACGCGCCGCGCCAGCGTTACCCCTGCTTCCAAGAGTTTGAATCTGTTTTGACTAACTGTGCAGCGCGGCCTCATTCAAAATTCATCAAGGCCCTTTATCCCAGCACACACACCAACACACACACACACACACACACACATAAACAAAGCTGACTTGTTAGCAGATGTCGATGGGGGGGAGAAGAGAAGAAAAAAAGGTGGAGGAAAAAAACAAAAATACAAACTTGTGTGCTCAGAAACTGCAGGTTCACATGACTGCTGTGCAACTGTTGCCGATTTATTTTTTTATTTTTAATTTTTTTGCTCCCAGGGGAAAACGTAGGGAGGATGCGACAGAGATGCTGCCTCTGAAACACGCCGCCGAGCCCTCGCCTGTTGACAGACGGCAAAAGCGACAGATTTCAAGTTTCCTCGACAGACGACAACCAAAGAGTGCACACACTCGGCGCTCCCCACCCGACTGCCTCTGCTCTCGGTGTGTGTTTTGTGACTAACCACCACCGCGCTCCCGCCCTTGTTGTCGGCTGACACAATGGGACAAGCTGCCACATGTGCAGGACAGCTCATCTCGTCAGAGCGCCGACGTCCTGAAAGGCGGCCGAGCGCCACAGCTGAAGTGAACCACTGCGTGTTGCTTTTTTATTTATTTCTATTTTTTTCCCCCACATGGTGCAGACAGGTAGGAATGGCTGCAATGACAGAGGAGCAGCCGACCCCTGTTCTCCTCTCCTCTGTTTATCGTCAGGCTCACATGTCAGTCGTGAGCAGCTGAAACTAAAACACAGCGCCGCGTTCATCGGGATTCCACGTTTTACACCAACGCAATGAAACATTTAAGAAAAACTATACGTGCTTTCCCACTTTTTTCTCTTTTGTTGAGAAAATCTGACAAGTGTGGCATGCATTAATATCCCAAGTCTGTAAGGTGACAATTTGCAGATCCTCTGTTTGCTGTAATTACAGCTGCAAATCCACTGGGGTGTGTCGCTAACAGCTCTCGCACATCTAGAGACTGAAATCGTTCCCTCCATATCCACTCAGACTGGATAATGAGCGTCTGTATCAGCAGTTCTCAATTGAGGCCTGTACTTTAACTGGACCATGACAACACAAAAATATACTTTGAGCTAAACTGTAGCTCCGGTTTTCTGTTTGACATCATTGCTGATGTTGAAAGGTGAACCTCGGTAGCAGTTTCTGCTCCATCCTTCTTCCCAAAAACTCTGACTAGAAATTTTTCCAGTTGTGCTATACTCTTTACGTTTTTCGACCATGGGTGCTTAACGAGATGTTCAGAGCATGGGAGTATTTATGACGCAATTCAGATTTAGATTTTGCAAATAAAAAGTGCAATAATGTGTTGCACTTGATTTTTATTAGGGGCGTCACAGTAGAGGTGGCTGAATACGAATTCGCACCACAAATTTCTGATTTTTATGGGGAGCCTTTGTTGAAAACCAAAAGAAAATAAGCATTTCTGCATCATCACATCAAGTCTTATTTTTCTTGATGCCAAGTTATTTTCCAAAAAAAAAACCTTAGCTGCTAATACATTTATATAATGTTCCCAAAAAAAGGTTTATAAAATCATACTTATTTCCCTACACCTTTAGTGCTTGAAAACTTTAGTCAAATTCCTCAATTGAAGCCATTGAAGCAATTTTGTCTCTGAGTCCTGGTCACGTTAATGCACTCACTCTGTGATGGTCTGTCCCATAAAACCCCAGTAAAATGCGGTGGGTGTGAATACTTTTGCACAGCACAGCACACTTTATCTGACACCTGCCTCAGGAACTCTAATTCTTGGACTTTTCGAAGGGACGCTTTTGTTTAAAGGACACCTCATCGACGCGTCACTCTCGCACTTCAGGCTGAATTCAAGCAGCCACAGTTTAAGTGCTGGCATCAGATTTCGGTCAGACGCCGAGTCAGACCTCGTCAGGTCAGGTGAGGCCTCACAGTGAGCTCAGTGCAGTTTTGTTTGTTTCTGACTCACATTTGGTTCCCATAGACTGTCATTGTTTTAGGCTGCAGGTTTAACTTCCTCTCAACCACCGCTAACATTTTCCACAAAGCGACTCCGGAGCGTTTGGGGTTTTATTTTACCGCTTTGTCATTCTTCGTGTATTATACAACTAACTATGAATGAGCCATAACTTTGAAACCACATGTGACCGGGGATGAAATCTTAGCTTTTATGAAGTGTCACATGTCTTTTTCTTTAGATCTTCATCCTGCTAAAGGAAACACGATCGCCTCTTACTGCTGAATACTTAATTACCTCCACCAGCTACAGTTGTGACTTGGCGTTAGGCTCACTTAACCAATACTACTGAGATGATAGAACTTTATTTTCTGAGAAAAGAACAAAAACAGGTTGACACAGTTGGCAGCAGCTGTAATTTTCCAGAGAAGTGAGTTTTGCTAGATTACCAGCAATACCTTTTCCACTGGGGAAACCAGATACTATTCACGAGAAAATGACTTTTGTTCACCTTTTGTTAACAGTCACTGGTGCCAACGTCAAGAAAGCCTTGATGCAACAGAATAATTCACAGCCCGATTCAAAAACAGCACATTTAGCTTCGCTTCTGAGTTTTTATGAAATATAATTTCAGGACTTTCTAAACACATTGAGCCTTGTAGTAAATTTTAAAAAATCCTTCTCAGCACCAATTCCTATTCCGAGTGGCGACAAAGTTTCGTCTCCCAGATCTTTGACATTTTCTGTAGACAGATTCTGATCCCACAATTGTGCAATGCATTTCTTTAAAAGTGTTTTATTTAACTTCCTTTTTCTCTTCCTCCCCCCCCCCCTGTTAATTAATCAGGAAGGGTCCACCCATGAAGTCAAAACATTGTGAAAAAAGTTTATGCAATGTCTTCATCAGACAAAACTGCTAAAACTGTTCAGAAAAGTTAATTAATAAAAATGTATTTTTAATGTCTGAATCCAGCTATTCATAAATAAAGACCTGCAGATTTGAGCAAAGTATTTCTGTGTACATAACTAGTTATTTGTTCAATGGTGGAAAAGAAACAGTTAAGAAATATCACCTTTAGTTGTCAGTGAGAGACTAACATATTTTGAACCAATATGTCCTCGTATTCTTAATAAGTAAAAGTGGTATTTTTTTGGACCATGCTTCTCAAGGCCCACAGCATCACAGGTCCTCCCCGTGTATTCGTATTGGAAGTGATGTGGTTTACTTCACTCTTAGTTTTTATATCCCAGACACACCACATTTTTAAGAGTCATATTATGCTTCTACAATAAAAGATGAATATATTTTTAGGCTTTAGGAAATCTTTAAAAAGGGTAAAAAAATAAATGTAAAAAAATACGACAGACAGCTGTACTATAATGATTTATTTTTGTTTCCTGTTTTTGTTTTTTTCCAATTTTAATCATGTTTTCTTTTTTTGGCACCTCAGAGAGCAAAGCAACACTAATCAGATGCGCTCGTCTGAGTTCAATGCTGATTCCTGCGTAGCCAGTCAAACCTGCTGTCAGGCCTGACAATAAACTCTCACTTTAAACTAAAACCTGTCAACAAAGGTGGCGGCTCACTCCGAAGGAAGAATGGACTTTCTAAAAGTGAGAGCAAAACAACAAAACAGAGAGTGACTAAAACCATTTCTCTGCCGTATGCCAGCTCACCCCCTGTCCGCTGGTGGGT